GATAAATTTTAATGTTTCCATACGTCTTATTTGGTAATGCTGCCGTATCTATTTCAATAAACCCCCACAATGCAGAATTACGTATTAATATTAACGCTGTAAAAATAATTAGTTTACTCACTAAATTTTAAAACCCCAACGTAATTACAAATTGTATAATAATAATTGTCTAAAAAATATTTCAGATAACTCGAGCTGTGTAACTTTTTTTAAAGTAACGCAATAATTAGTTTCAGTCAATACTTTTTGCCCCATCACCTGTACACACTAACACAGACTATTTTACACACACACACACACACAACTACGGGAGATAATTACTAAATATAGTGTGCGGCAACAGGACAGATGAGAGACAATAAAAAGATTGGAAGGATTACAATGTGAGGAAATGTCTTTAAAATAGGTAGTTAATCGATTTATTAATTTTTTTTTAGATTGATGTTCTTCAAAAGAGTGTTTTAAAGTTATCAGGGAACATTCATGCGCTAAGTATGTCAAAACGATGTTATATACATATATATATATATATATATATATATATATATATATATATATATATATATATATACTATTTATTACTTTAAACATCATATTTTGTTTTCGCCTTAGGCAAACAGAAATAGCTTTTTTTTTAGAAATTATACTTTGTTGATTAAATATTTTAAGGATTACTATGACTTGTCAGCAACATTATGCTATGACATAAAATGATAATGTACATTTTTAATTTAGTTTTACAAAGAAAACTAGAGAAGAAAATCGAGTTTAAGTTGCACACAAGTCCCACCTGAAACTTATGCACTTTGGACTTTGAAGTGAACGTCATTATAAGCTAATAACATATTAACATGTCGAAGAAACTCTCCCATATTACAATTTAGAGTAAAGAAGAAAATTAACTCATTGGTAAAGGACCTTTCATAACTCATATTCAACCGTCATATTCAAGGTGTGTGTAAAACGAGTCTGATCCCAGCTTTCTTGTTTAGGAAACGCGTTTGTTTTTAGCGATAAACAAAATATAATAAAAAATAAGGAAAATATATTTACGTAGTCTAAATAAAAGATAATTGATTGGTAGCGACCACGTCACTGCATTAGAGTTCCGTGGGTTCTGCTCCTGGGGCAGCCGACGTCCGCTCTCCCCCCCCCCCCCCCCTCCCCAATGATAACAATATTTGGTTGTCTTACAATACCAACATTATGTGCGCGTGCGTTGAATTATCATCTGCCAAATTTGTATTCTTTTATAAAACTCTGTTCTTCCTTATAGCCAATCAGCAAGTGAAATATTCTACAGTTGGTTTTGTTGCTTCGGGGAGGCCAGTGGTAGTGAGAATCTATGGATTGCTTGGATTATTCAAAAGATTGTCTTACACCAATGTTAAACATATCAAAGAAAACCATTTTAATCCAAACAAGGGCGTGTTTACCGCCCCTGTTGATGGCATGTATATAGTGAGTCTACGAATAAAAAGCATAGAAAATAAAGCTGCAAAAGCCTGGATAAAGCACATATCTGGAAATACTGTAGCAGAACTCGTTCGTATTGAGACAAAGGAAGACTTATCTGTAGCTTCAGGTACAGATGGGGTTTGGATGAAAACTGGGGATGAAATATTTTCATGTAGTAATTGTGATAATTTTGACTGTATACATTTGTCTTGTTTCCTACTAGGAATATAGTTACAATCAGTATGCTGAGTTAATTAAATGATATATTTTATTATTTCCAGGCTTGTTCTTAAATGAAAACTTGCTATATTTCTATAAAAAAAATTAATCTTTTCAACATTTGAACATATAAATACACGCCTTCAATTATTTTGAGTATAATTAAAAATGTAAGAATAAAGTAGCTTTGATTGTAGGTTAGTTCTGTACTGTTAGATAGCCGCTGCATTCGTATTTAGTGTTTACAATAGACTGTTTAATGTGGATGGTGTATAAATTATTAAATTATTTTATTGTTAAATAGCCTTTATTTCAGTTAGTCGTGTTTCGTACCCGTTTGTTGTTGTTTCGTCTCTTATGTTTTGTGAGCAACTGGATTACATGTAAAGGCATGTCCGTGTTCACATCACAACTCACTGATGTATCTGTTTACCCTAGCATTCTTTTAGATAGCTGTGGTTTATAAAGTACTTCACGCAAGAATAAAACGTAAAATGGCCGCTCTGTTGTCAATAGATTGAATTTTTGGCGTCATATTATGACACTTTACATAACACAGACAAAACTAATCACCTTGCATTCATAACATTACTGTTTATATGATGATGATTCATTAAAACATACATGTCGATGTTTTACACTTTGTATATTTAACTGTTGTTTGTTAATTGTTGTGATTTCAAGACTTATTTTGTAATTTGGTTATATTTTTTGTATAAACCAACTTTTGTAAGTATTCAGTTGCTATATTATTTGCTTATCATATGAAGCTTACAGTTGTCACGAAGTTTAATGTAACTAAGGTTTTATTTCTTTCTTATTCATTTTTAACTTTTAATAATAGTATGGAAGTATAAAATTAAAGCAATAATACTTTGAATGTATGGTTATCTTAAAATCCACACAAAGTATACTTTTTTATTATGTACAGATGTAACCATACACATACACACCTACACGTATATAGCCTATACAAACACACATACAATGGCTTAAACTAAAATGTTTATCCGAATATTTAAATCCAAATATAATTAAAGTTTCCCTTTCAAACCTGACGGTCTATGGGGCAAATGAAGTAGAGTTCACTTGTTTCTGTGACCTCGGCAACTTGAGTTAGGTACCTATCAGAGTTGGGTGGACTCAGGGACGGTCTACTGACTTGAACCCGGATTCGAACTCGAGACTTACGGGTTAGCTAGAGCACTCCGTCCCATAAATCCAAAATATATAAATCCAAATATACGGCCCTTGAACTGGGTTGAGAATAGAATTGATTTATCACCTTGATGCTATGAAATCAATTAAATAGATGCGTAATATGTAACAAGAATTAGTAAACAATAAGGTCGAACCTTCAACTGTTTGGTAAATTAATATCTCTCTGACCATTCCAATATGTATAAAAATTGACCAACTATATCTCTACACGACGAGGTTGAAGAAACAGATTAACTCTACTTTATGCTACTAACCATCTTTTTAGTTGACCACCAAAACTAAAAAAAAAATTGCAATCTTTTCTTTTTTCTACCCACCAACTGTTCGTTGCCGTGTCTATTACATCATAGTTTATCGCAACAAATAAACCAAATATCAAATATCATCAAACCCATTCTTACACTATGCTGTAATGGGCATACCATTCTTTCATTACTTTTGTAATATCACGTCTTTTTCTCATCCTACTTTATAACCTCCAATGTTCGAACCAAGTCTTCAAATCTCTTCTCTTGACGTTCGTTTCCTTCTACTGATTCTGTTTTTTTTCTTGGATATTTTGTCTTGTTTTGTTGTCAACGTCTTGTAATTGTCTGGGTGATGTGTTATCATGGTTTGCAATTTTATTTTTTCATTTAATCGATTTGTTTTTCCTTTCATGAAATGCAATATTGTTTTCCACTTTATCAAACCTAGCAAGCTATTGTTGATTATTACTCGACGGTCAAACTTAATAAATTAATGTGCCATTTTCAGCGGTGTTAACTACTTTAAATACAAATATTTACCATTTAATTAATTCAAATGATGATTTTCGATTTGTTTTTCGAATAAAATAAAACATCTAAAACAGAAATTATGACTGAATCATGCGAAACTTGTATTTTTTACGTTATAAGTTGAATTTGTTTGTTAAATTCTTTGGTCGATTGATGAGGTGAGACTGTAAGAGCAATAAAGATAGCACATGATAACTAGTACAACAACATAAACACAAACACGATAGCACATGTTAAATAGTACAACATTAACACAAACACGATAGCACATGTTAAATAGTACAACATTAACACAAACACGATAGCACATGTTAACTAGTACAACATCAACACAAACACGGTAGCTCAGGTCTTAACTACTACAACATTAATCAAAACACTATACCACAGGGTAACTAATGCAACGACATTAAAACAAACATGATAGCAAAGGTTAACTATTACAACAGTAACCCAAGAACGTTATTTTCTCTCTTTCACAGTACTCAGACAAACATTATTGTTCAATATGCTTTTATATGGATATTTAGTGTATTTTAAATAAAAAATATAGTGGAACTTCTATGATAGGCCTTGATTCTATGTTGATACGCATTGAGCAAGGTTCCATTGAAATTGAAACTTACATAGTCAATACTGAATCATATTTTCAATTCAGCTTAAATTTGATCCTACAGTTCTACAGTTTGACATACTTTTTAAAAATCAATACATTGCTTAATCGATAAGCGGTTTTCGTTTTTTAAGACGTGTTCCAAGTTTAGTACTATAACTCAGGTATGTTAAACTTACGAGATCTACATTACAAGCAATCCAACCAGCTATAATAGTTTTCTGTCTTGATAAGAAGAGTTTAAATTTCCATTTTAAAAATAGGAGTCGCTAAGTTTACAGTAAGTGGAAAGTAGTATGATTTTATCTTATTTAACATGCGCTACTTATAAAGCTTACAAGTGTAAATAGAGCAGGTGTATGCATTTCGATCTGTAAAACATTCGTATGAAAATATTAATCGCTTCAAAATATTTTGATTTGCTTGAGGTGAAAACATAAAATATTATATAAACACATTTTATGTAGCTCTAAATAAAGATAGCTGTCGAATTGTCACCACATTAGCTGCAATTGTATAACAGTAAAAACATAGAGATACTAAAATAATGTATTTAGTGAAGTATATTATGATAATTCGATATTCTTATCTGAAATATCTAAATTTCAAATACCTGATAGACTTGACATTTTTCTGTTACATGAAATTATAAACTTTCTAAATTAAAATATGAAATGGAATAAAACGAAACAAAGACTGTTTTTATGTAGATGTCGCAACACTCCAAGAAACTTCTAAGCTCTCAACTCGAGCTGTTTGAAGAGTCGTGTTCTCATCTTCAGAGTTACATCACTGATTTCCAGAAACAGGTTAGAACTAAAATTGGTGACCAATATATTTTACTTTGTAACTGAAAAATCCGTAATTTAAATTATTAAAAATAATTAATATAGAATCAATTGAATTGGTTTATAAATTGCACTAGTATATTTAGTAAATAAATATATATTTACTTGTATTCTCAACTTATCAATTGTAATGTTGTCGAGCAGTTATTTTCAAATCAATTTGAATATATTACAATTAATTTCTCTGGTGGGTACCTGACTTACGTTGGGGACGGTAAAGCCGACTGAGCATAGCACTGACATTAAAGTTTGTTTGTTATGGATCTTAGGTCTGAAAGGGGAGCTTTATAATTATATATTTAGCAAACTCTATTACACAATTTATATTTATTCAGCGTTATAAATGATGAAATATTCATCTTTGAAAACCATTGTACATTACAAATTGTTAGTGAAAGGTAATTTTAAATTCAATGTACTATCTTTTTATTGGAGTCATTCAATGTATCATACGTGTAGATTAAAACAAAGGCCATAGAATGTCTTGTCAGCACATCTGGCACTACAATGTCAGTCAAAGATGCGATCGTGATGGTGACAACAGCACAAAATACAGTACTGGAACATGTGGACATGTTAGCTGGTATAGTCTTTTATTTCGAACAGAATTTACTAAAGCTCACAATCTAGAATGATTGTTGCTATAATTATATCAAAACGTATAGACTATTTTATGTATATTAACATTTGTTTTATGAACCCCAATTTTGAAAATGACATGCAACAATATTTTAGTTTACTTTATTTATAAAACAATCATCATCTATAAAATAATTATCAAACTAATTGGCATTTATATTAGTTTAATCATAGACTGTTTGTTACTTCTTTGATTAATATTCAAATAGAAATCAACCTAATTTACCCTGAAAAAATAATGACAAGTAAAACGACATTACCGGAAAGAAAAACAGAAGCTGAGCAAACAGCTAAAGACAGCGTTTCTGGTTGGTTGAAAAATTCTAACTTTGTAAAAATGTAACAAATGTAAGCTTCGAAAAACAATGTTTTTTTTAAATTCTATTTATGTATCTAATCATTCAACGCTACAACACAAATTCGGCTTTAACTACGTTTTCATGTAGTTGTTACTTAGTTTATTTGCATTTTTTTTTTCATCTGCATTTTAATCTATTCAGAATTTATCTGCCGACTTGAACACCTTGAAACTCTTGTATCGGATCTACAAGACACGAAACAAAAGACTGAAAAAAACTTTATTGAATTTAAGGAATGGATAGACAAAGCTGCAACTGTGCAAAATGATGCAGAGATTAAAATTGAAAAATTATCTAAGAAACAAAAGCTTAACTTTAAAAACATAAGAAAACATTTGAATGAACAAGAAAACAAAATAAATGAACTGAATAAAGAAATTGAAATTTTAAAGGAAAGAGAATCCAGTAAAAAGAAACCACTAGAGAAAATGGCTGTATTTGTGAGAGAATATGAATCTAAATTACTTTCGTTGAATGAAAATATCCAAGTTCTATCAGAAAAGAATGATACTTTAACAAGAGAAATAAAAAGCCAAGCAGATTTAATATATGACTTACAAGAACAAGACAAGCAAAATAGTATGAGCACAAGAAACAAATTTCATATTTTAATTTCTAAGGTAATGTAATTTTCAAATAATTAAACAAATGTATACTTTTGCTTGTGATATTGTATAAAATGTCTCATGTCCCAAAAATTCAATTTACAATGTTTTGTTTTTTAAATTGGGCCAATATTTTACCTGCTGATCGTTTAAGATATTTTACGTTTTTTTTTCTATCTAGCAAGCTGTTATGTGTAAACTCCTGCAACAACGATTGTCTCCCATAGACAAATTGCTTCAACTTTGTAATCACACCTGTGAGAACAGAGAACTAAAGCAGAAACAGGTGTACTTGTGAACTTTTATTTGCTCTTGTCTTATTGTAGCTTATTTAATGAGGTGTATTAATAAAATAGAGCCCAACATACACATAGGGGAACTGTTAAATAGTAATTTTAGAAATAACGTATAAAATATCAATTATGATACTCTAGTGTGGTAAAACGCAAAAGATAGTAATGTGTTTTTTTTCGGGGAAGATTATAATTAACACAAACGTTTTTTTTTCAAAGAAGAAGGGAAAGTAAAGCACCAATATGAGTAAAATATCAATGTTTATAATAGAAGTATATAACAAATTCATAAAACTGTAGAATTTACTTTTTTTCAGTTTGATGTTTTTGAAAAAGATTTTACAAAGTTATCGGAGGACTTTCATATATTAGGTAAGTCAAAAAAAATTTTTTTCAAGAAACTGTTATAATTAATTTAAATTACATCAGAAATGAACATACGTAAGACTAATAACAAAGACATAACAGTGAGTGACAGTACAATTGTATTACCGAACGGAGATGATTTCTCTGGAATGTTTAGAGAAATTATTTATATCAGCTCCGAACGTCTTCTGGCTACAGATCTAAATAAATGTGAGATATGTAATTTTCTGAACGTGAAATCTTACACATTATTACACATATTAGAATTTCAGTTCTGTTTTGTGTTCTAGTGTCCATTAGAAGATCATATTGTTGACATACGGTTTTTACTAATAATTACATGCTTATGTATTTATGCACATGCATTTTAAAAGCAGAACATATGATGTTTGATGAGAAATATTTTGTATACAATTTGAAACTGTAGAATATTGCTTAGCAAACTCACCGACATTTTTTTTTATTTTCTAAAAAAACGTAAAAAATTCTAATAGATTTGAAAATTTCATCCATTTGAATGATCAAAAATGTATATATAACTTTCTAAAATTCATATTTATGTAACGATAATTTTTAATTGTGTTGTGTTTGCAGTTTTCTATTTAGAATTGTAGACACGTATGTAAGGTTATAGAGAGTTGTTGGTAATATGGTGCTGTGTTAGTTAAGTTTGGTTAAATATAATATCAGTGTATTCGACTATTTCTACAATCTAGATGTCTAGTATTATTTTTACTTTCTCGGATATACGAAGTATAGAGAAAGTCTTGTGATCCTGCAAAAGAAAATCGAGATTTTTGCAAATATCGACGTTTTACACCTCACTGATACGGAAAAAACATAATTTTGCAATCTTGTCCGTATGTCTCTGTGTCTGTCTGTGTGTCTGTGTGTGTGTGTGAACACGATAACCTGAGTACCGTTACAGCTAGGTTGATGAAATTTCATACATAAGTATTTTATCAAAATCGTAGATCCTGTTTAACTTTTAAGCGATTTGCAATAACCGGAAGTGGTACTTTTTCTACTTTGAATTTTTCAAAAGCCTATAACTTAAGTACTATTTCAGATAGATAAATGACATTTCACAAGTAAGTAAAAGATCTAATTCTCTACTTTCTTTCAAATTTTGAGTAATTTCCGTTGACTGGAAGTACTAATTTACGCTATTTCCGATTTCTCAAAAAACGCATGTAAATTTATAAAGTACTAATAATATCCAGCACTATTATGCAAATTTATATAGGCGTTCACTTGGTGTGCAATTCTTTTTTTTACGAGATTCTATTCTCTTATAAAAAGTTTAAGTAAGTAAAAATAGATTACAAATAATGTCTATATCCTGAGTTGCCATCCCTCGTAGTTTTATATTAGAATATTCGAGAAAGTTTAGGGGAGATCACTCCCGGTTTATTTCTGTAACACTGAAACTGTTTTAAATCTTTCAGCCAGTCAACAAGCAAAACATTTGACAGTAGGTTTTGTTGCTTCATGTGGGCAGGTAGACCGTCGCAAAATGGGATTAGAAGGCTACAAACTCTCTTACACCGGCGTAGAGCGTAACCTAGGAAACCATTTTAACCCGAATACCGGAGAGTTCACCGCCCCTGTTGATGGCCTGTACATAGCAAGTCTTACAGTAAAACAAACGGGGGATAAGCCCGTACATGTTTGGATAAAACACAAGTCTGGATGTACACAGTCCTGGCTGGGTCCTGTAGAGACAAAAGACAAATTTAACCTGGCTTTAAGGACATCCGTGGCTTGGTTGAAAACTGGAGATGTTTTACATTTAGAAAGTTTTGGTATGGGATTTAACTGCACACATTTTTCTTGCTTCCTCCTTGGTATGTAGATTAATGTGTTGACTATACAGTCAAGATTTTTTTTCATAATTTATAAAAAAAAAATGCATATCAACATAAATAATGTAAACAAAGGCATTTAATTATTTTGGATGTAAGAAGAATGTACGATCGAGCAATAACAGTTAACTGTTTTAATTGGTTTTTTTTGTTGTTTTTATTTCGACTTTATGTTACTCAAGTCACATACAAGATGCGACACATGTAATTAGACAATAGTAGTTGTTTCATTATTAATTGATGCGACGGCGTGGCCTAGTGGTAGAGAGCTAGAGTACCAAGCCGAAAGTCTAGAGTACATTTCAGTAGAATATCCCTGAGTCCACCTAATTCAGGTTAGGGCAACAAGGTGGCTGGGCATAGTGCTGACCACACTATCCATTCATATGCCGAGATCCCTGAACTCATCTGCCCAATGTGTCTTTGGCAAGAACCGGAAAAGATGATGATTAGCTGACTGAACTCGACGGTTATATTTGACTGTTGCGTCCTTTATTTAAAGATGTGTATTTCTGTCGTGTAATGTGTACGCTTTAGTTGTACATAATTTTTGCCTCTGTCAATGTCTTTGTGTACGTGTGCGCGTGTGAAGTTTGCGCTTGCTACCATGGTAACAGCTTCTGTAAGTGTTATATTTGATTAATTCGGATTATCTGTCCACTCTTTCATTTTCGATTTGAAAAAACAATAAAACAATAAATTATAAAACTAGTAACGATGACGTCATAGCTTTGTCAAACAACGATTTCTCTCAAATTGACTAAAAATAGTTTCTTACGTGTAGAACAAAATCAGTGAGATTGCTCTATAAACCAATGTGAATCTCTTATGTGAATATCTTCTAGATGATCCAGCAAATCAATCAAATTTTTTTAGAGGCATTTATTGTTGTTCGGACGGTTGCCAGAAAAATGCGCAATCGAAATATTGCGCAACGGAAAACTGCGAAAACAGAAAAAAGCCAAAATACAAAGTAATTATACTAATACACTTTAATTTTGTCCTATTTCGTTGAAATATGTTTTATTATGCTACAATTTACATGTGGTCACTCTTGTTTAATGTGTTTAAATGCTTGTTTTAAGAAAACAAAAATGTGCACTCTTTTTGTGCGCAGTTTTCCGGCACCGGTTCAGACATCTCAGTACATAATGTATGTGTATGTGGAAACAAGAATGAAGGTTTTATATGACATCTTACACATAAAATAAATAAATATACGAAGCTCTAAGCTCGCGATGAAAACTCTGGTTTATGTTAAAATGTATTGTTTCACAATTATATACTTTTATATGCTATTATACATAATTGAATTCTTTTCTTAGATACAAGTGATCTCTTATAAACAACCATCATGTATTGAGATATTTTGGTGTCAGCTCAGAATAAAAACGACATAGATTTCTTTGATTGATCAATTTTCTCAGGTAATCTGATAGTGCTTTCCTGGTAACCAAAAATACTGTTTACAAGTAATATCCTGGACCATATCAATTTGCAACTGTGATCCAGTATTTGAAGTGGGTGTATTAAATGGCAAAAAATCTTTTTTCTTTTGATGTTACCCTTTTAGTTTCTGTAAGTGCTAATGCTGTTAGCAAAGTTGTTTGATGATCACATTCCTTCTTACTTAAAGCATTTGAAATTGCCATATTACCATAATCATTTATTAAGTTACAAATACTTTGTTTAGGCAACTCTGACTGATAATGGACTGCATCTTCTCCATCTTTTATATTATCTTCACAAAGGTTTTCATTTCTTATTTTACATGGCCTTAAGTCATCATTCATAGACTCTTCAGGCCAACCATTCTTACAGTACTCATATACACCTATTAAGCACTCATCTTTTTGTGTTTCTCCTTCAATATCATTCACATTTATATTGGAGTTATCCATGATAGTGAAGAGAACAAATACATCTTCTGGTACATAGTTAAGGCTTTGGTTTTTTAAAGGTAATCTACTAAGACTATCTGCACTATTCTCAGATCCAGGTTTGTATTTCAATTCATAATTGTATGCAGTTAGTGTGATAGCCCATCTTTGAATTCTTGGTGAGGCATGCTCAGGTAGGGTTTTGTTTTCTTCAAATTAACCTAGCAATGGTTTATGATCTGTAAAGATGGTGAACTTCCTACCAAACAGAAACTTATGAAATTTCTTAACACCAAAAATGATGCCTAAGCCTTCCCTATCTAACTGAGAATAATTTTTCTCAGCCTGGTTCAAAGATCTACTGGCAAAAGCAATGGGTCTGTCACCCTTCTCATCCATGTGGGACAAGACTGCTCCTACACCATCTGGTGAAGCATAACATGTTAACATAAGTCTTTTCCCTGGGTCATAGTGAGTTAGTAAGGTGTCAGAAGACAAAGCTTCTTTTGCTGTATTAAAAGCAGCTTCTTGTTGTTTACCCCAGTGCCAAGTTGCATTTTTCTGTAGCAGCTTGTACAGTGGTGATAGTTTACCAGACAGATTCCTTATGAACTTTGCATAGTAATTTTTCAAGCCCAAAAAAGCTCTTAGTTGTTGGGTATTTTCAGGTTTGGGTGCTTCTTTAATGGCTTTTGTTTTCTCAGGATGAGGTCTGATGCCTTGTTTGCTCAATATATATAACCAAGAAAACTAATTTCTGTCAGCATGAATTGACATTTATCTTTGTTTATCTTTAAACCTTTTTCACCAACAATTTTCAATACTTTATCAAGTGTTTTAAGATGTTCAGTGTCATTCTTACCAGTTATGTACACATTGTCAAAGTAAACACAAACATTTGGAATATCCTTAAAAATACTGTCCATGACAGCTTGGAAAATTCCAGGGCTAGATGATATGCCAAAACATAGTCTTTCATATTGGTCCTTTATGTGTGTTTATTGTCGTATAGACTTTTGAATCTGGATGCAGTTCTAGTTGAGTGTAAGCATGACTAAAGTCTAATTCAGTGAATTTGTCTCCTCCTGCCAAATTCAAAGCAATTTCCTCAATGTTAGGTATAGGGTACCTATTTAGCTCTATTTGCTTATTCAGTGTAGTTTTATAGTCTCCACAAATTCTTATAGAACCATCCTTCTTTAACACTGGCACAATGAGCGTTGCCCAATCGGAATAGTCTACCTTCTTTATGATGCCATTAGATTCCAATCTACTTAGCTCATTTTCAATTTTATTCCTCATTGCATAAGGTGGAACTCTAGCTTTGCAGTATCTTGGATTTGTGTCTTTAATGCTTATTTTCACTGTTCTATCATTTAGTAATCCAGGATTACCAAAAACACATTTATTTTCAGATATAACTTTATCTAGTGAAGTAAGACTAGATTCTTTTGCATTGTTCAATGAACATATACTCTCCCAATTTAACTTAAGATTACTTAACCAGTTCCTACCTAGTAATGGTGGTCCATTTCCTTCAACCACAAGAAGAGGAAGTTTAACACTTTGACCATTATAACTTACATGAACCATACACTCTCCTATCACCGGAACATTGTCACCAGTGTATGTTGTTAGACACTTGTGACATGGTTGTAGAGGCACTGATCCTCCTGTGACAGCGTCAAAGTCCTTCTTTGTGATGACTGTTAGAGATGCTCCAGTGTCAAGATGGAAGCTGATGCTCTTACCGTTGATATTAACTAGTACATTGATGGGAGCATGACTTTCTGATTTCACAGGGAACAGGTTGAACTCCGGCTGCAAATCAGTTTGAGCATTTTCACAGGTAGAGTGGTTCATTGGTTGGGTTAGGTAGTCTTGGTGAGAGTTAACATAGTGCTGCCTTTGGTTGCGGTACTGTCTTGACTGGCTAGCTTTAGCAACAGACGAAGACTTTGCAAAGCAGGCCTTGGCAATGTGACCTTGCTTACTGCACTTATAACAAGTTGCAGACTTGAACTTGCACCGATGAGATGCATGGGGACCTTTGCATCGATGACATTTTTGATAATTATTACTAGATTTAGATCTAGGCTTTAAACGTGCAGGCTGTTTAGCATAAGTTGAAATGCTCTGATGGGGGTTGATGTTTATTGACTAACCTGCTGTTTACTGCATGGATCTCTGAAGGCGTTAGAGATTTCGCCGCCTCGGATGACTGCTGGAATGAAGTTGCTAGTTGTATTGCTTTTTCTAATGTTAGATCTGACTCGAGCAGCAACTTTCTTTGAATATCAGGGCTGTTTACACCTGTCACAAACTTTTCACATAGTCTGTCAGACAGCGTGTCTCCAAATTCACAGAATCTACTTAAATGACGTAAAGCAGCAACATATTCTGATATTGACTCGTTTGGTTGACGAGTCCTACCGTCAAATCTAGCTCGACATAGAAACTTTGATGGGGTAGGCGCATGGTGGTCTGTTAGCAATTTGCTCAGCTCGTTAAAGCTCTTGGTAGTTAGACTAGCTGGTGCGCATAAGTCCTTTAGTAGCCTAAATTGTTGAGGCCCTATGACTGTTAACAAAACAGCTCTCTTTTTGGCTTCTATCGTCACGTCGTTTGCTTCAAGGTAAAAGCTTAACCTATCTAGATAATCCTGAATGATTTCATCATTCGAATCAAATTCTTTTATTTGGCCATACAGCGCCATTATTCTAGAAATACTTAGCTAATATGATCTAGCAAACCTCTTTTTTGCGTAAGTAGGTGCTCTTTCTAGTGGATTATTTATCCCATCCTCGTCGCCAATGTGATCGATTGGCAAACACTGACGAGAAGCCACATAGATTGTTAACAGTAGTTTATTCACACCATGAGGAAAGAGAGGGAGACGGAAGTCACGAGGGACTTATATACATAACATGTAAGGGACATCACTCAAGATAACAATATAAATATAATACTAATACAGAAGAGTGAGTTCCCTTGACCTCACAATTATCTCAATCTATTACAAACAAGAAAAGAAAATAGACGAGTTAAATAAAGTTATTGAGAATTTTAATGAAAAAGAATTACTGTCAAATAAAACACTAGAGAAACTG